AGTTGATATTGAGATAATATATTTACCAATATCCTCTTGAATTTCCCATATTTTATGCAATGCTAGCACATGCAGGTGAGATCCTGCTGTCTGTCACTTCTGGTTCTCTACTATGCTATACTTCACTTTTCAATAGGTGCCATAATTAGAATTGTCTGAGTGTATGTCACCAAAAACACTCTGACTTTGGTTTCCATCTACATTCCTCTGAAATTCACATTTAGTCAAGTATTCAGAAGACTCTTCCAAGAACTTGAAAACATCTTGAGTGTAAACTCAATCACAGAAAACACGTCATTGCTGTCCACAACTGTATGTAAATATGAGGTGACACAGACTTAGAAAAACAAAACTGCAATAAGTTCTCCAGCTCAGAACAGCACGTACTTTGGACAAAGGGATTTTACGAAGCTAAGACTATCTACATTCTCATACTAACAAAAGGTAAAATGCTACTCTTTTGATTTTCATAGAAAAACAATCATAGAACAATTCAGGTTGGAAAAGACCCTTGGGATCATCGAGTCCAACCATTAACCCTACACTACAAGTTCACCCCTAAACCATATCACCCAACACCCCATCTAAACGACACTTGAACACATCCAGGGACGGCGACTCAACCACCTCCTTAGGCAGCCTATTCCAGTTTCTGACCACTCTTTCTGTGAAGAATTTCTTCCTAACGCCCAGCCTAAACCTGCCCTGCTGCAACTTACAACCATTCCCCCCATACTATCGCCATCTGCAAGACCAGACTTGAGTGGTTTTAAGTCTTCTTTTATCATCTCCTTAAGCACATAAATCCATTACGGAATCCTACATTTTCCCAGTGGCAACTCTACTGTCAGAAACCATATTCTCTGTGGATGGTTGCCAGAAATCTAGCCCACACTCCAACTGCCTACTTTTTAATTATACGTCACATGCCTAGGTTCTTCCATATATACTACTAGCATCTCAGAAAGTAATAAAGCAAATGTTGAAACTCTAACCTTTAAATCATCAATAATTTCTTTAGGAGGTATAGCGATGGAAGTATTTATGCAAGATATGTCAGAGAAAGTAGCATACCCCAAATCGCTTACATTCTAAAATAATAGGAGATAAAAGAATAAGAGATATGAAAACTCACTTTGGTGCTGATATATAACCCTTGCAAACAAACTATATTAAAAAAACAGTAACCGTTGAATTAGTGCCTTATACACACTTGTTCTCATACCTGGACTTTCGCCTTGGTACTGCATTGTCCAAACTGGATTCTGTACTTTCCAAAACTAAACTTGCCTTCTAACATGAAAAAAAATGGTGTTTTCTTCCTCCCTTCCTTTTTATTTTATGATTATATCTATACGATTAATTCACTAAGAACCCTTTTCCCTACTTCCTGTCAGAAATCTGTACACAGCGGGTATCTGCCAGTTACCATACTGGTGGATGGAAGAAAGAGCTATCACTTGCTAAGACAATCACAGAACTTCTTAACCTTTATTTATGCACTGTTTAAAAGGATACTGCCTTAGAAATCCTGTGGCTATAAGCAATGAATACACTTCGTGCTTAAAAGGAGGAAACAGAACACACCGACAGATATAGAATCCCGATGTGTGCTCAAAGATTTCAAAAGCAAAATATTATCATAAGTAGTCATTTTCAGGAAAAATGAAGGAGGCCACTCCCAGCAGAATGTTCTGCAGTTTAAAAGGATTGCCAGCCTCGCTGAGAAACAGCCGAGAGAGGTCTCTCTGTACTGACAGACAATTAAGCACATTTACCTGCAAAGCACAATCATCCCACTTTTTTTTTTTAATTCCTTCAGTATACGAACATTGTAGGAATGCCAAAATAGTGTCTTCTGAGCCCTGCAGGCTTTATATTCTAAAGATCATTAACTTTTCTATGTTTAACATTAATTGACACGCACTGTAAGATGTGGAGAAACTGGTGGACAAGTGTGTGCAGAAGAGGGAAATAAAAGGTATAAAGCACATCATCAACCAGACCAATTCTTCCTATTTTACCATGATGATCAAGAGTACTGTAAATGAAAAACTGATTCTTTATTGAATTCACTAATTTACTTTTCCTCCTACATTTATAAACGCATGCAATCTGTACTCAAAGACAGCACAAGAGTTACATGTATGCTTACAGATTAGGTTGGCAGCCTTTTTTATCGGCTCATTGTCCTTTTTGAAATCTTTCATGTTAAAATGTAATATCATGGTTTTGATATTTATGGTATTTCTGCATTCCTGATCTCATCACAAAATTTGCTTTTGCCTTTTTTTTAATTTTCTCACATTCTAAACTTGATGGTTATCTCAGAACGGAAATTATCTAGTCCTGTTATTATCGTAAATATTTTTAAGCCTTTTTATGCAGAGGTTGAAAGAACAGGAAGACATATATGTCCCATAATTTTTAAGCAATCTAATTTAAAGCCTAGTTCTGGACTGCAGATATTCACTTTAGCAATTCTGTAGCTGGCAGGGATCACTATGATCATGCAAGATGACCAGGCCAAAGTTTTTCCCAAAACTAATTCTAGGCTGTGTGCTATTTCAAAAAGAATCTGGTCTTGATTAAGGGCTTGGGGGGGACAGACGTAGGACAACACATTTCTAATGGACCATTAACTATATTCACTAAAGAAACCACACAAACCAAACAAAAACTAACTACCAAAAACCCCCAAACAAAGCTCCATGCCTTAACTGAGTCCACATTCATGCAATCTGCAAAATAACGGAACCCAGTTTCAACCATTGGATCTTTTTAAACCTTTAGAAACCAGATTATAGAACCTGGTATTAGTAATTAACTAGAGACCAACTAATAACACCTTTAATCATGTCTTAAATAAGCTAAATAGACTGAGCTCCTGGAGTCTTTCAGTCCAGGGCACATTTTTCAACCTTTTGACAAGCCATGTGACTCTCCTCTGAACTCACTGCAAATTATTGACATCTCTACAACTAAACCCACCAAAATTAAGGAAAAACCTTAGAATTAGCTTAAAAATAAGAAGCTTTTCTTCCTATACCGAGAATCCTGTGTTTAAATATTCAGTGATCACACTTGTCTGTTTTCAACTCTGCATTTGGGCTGTAGTTTTGCCTAATAATTCAATAAAATAAAACATAACCTGGAAAAGGAACAACAGACGTTTTCTAAGGAAATAGTGTTGTGCAGACACTTGGCTGTAAACTTATCACTATCTACTGCCTGTACCCTCAGGCTAAGATTTAATTAAATTGTTATCACCCCTCTGCATTACAGAACTGAAGAAATGGGAAACAAAAAAAAAAGTGTATAGGCTTCTTCTCAGTAAGAGTAACATTTCCAGACATTGTCAGTCTCCAGGCCAAGACTATTGTGTCCATGTGTAAGAAAAATGTCAGCAACAAACCAGATTCCAGCAGTTGGAATACATTTAAATGATTAAAAAAAAAGTTTTTCTGCAGCTGCATAAAGTGATGATTATGGCTGGTTTGAATTAGACAAAGTGGAAACAGGAATCATCACAGAGCTCTATCTTCCCCATCTCTATGGGTAGTTCATGTTGTAGAGGCCAAAACAAGAGGCAACCAGCCCTTTGACTTTGGCCTTTAACTGTAATTAATCAGCACATAAAAATGTGCTCAATACATAGTGGTACTATATATCGTGAACTGAAGGCCCTTCAGTTTTATTGCTCTCACTAACTAAATACTCAGATTAGTTTGCTTCTCCAGAAAAACCTGATTGCCTGATCTCTACATCCCTTTGCAACCACACTTTTTTCTCCTTCTTGTTTTCCTCTTTAGCAATTCTGGAATGAATTAATTTATAGACAGGTTCAGTTAAATAAATATTAGCACTTGCACACCAAAAAAAAATTAGCTGGTAGCTTTAGAAGCTTTAAGTATTTTCCAAATCTCTTCAAAATAGCCTATATTAATCATTTCAGAACCTTTCAGAAACTCTCTAGGAAGAATTGTTTTTTTGTAATCTGTAGTTTAAGGCATTACTGTATGATTTTTAGCTTCTCAAGATTCTCAAATCTGAACCATAACTTCTAAGAGAAGCTGTCATATCAATTGTTTTTCTCACCAGCCCAACTTATCCGAATTAATTCTCCTTCCATTTGTGATTACACAATATCCTTGTATGAAATACCATAATTGCTAGCCTGGAATGTATTATGAGGAAAGGATTTAATATATTTTTAGCTGTCTTTTAGTATAGTTAAAACAAGGGGAACTAGATAACAAGATTAGGCAGCTCTCTACAGACTAGTGACAAATATACTGTAGACACTGTTTGGAAACTTTGAGTCTTTCTTCTTAATTCTTCTTTTATTACAGACTTGAAAAAAAAATAGATGGGTGCTACATAAGCATAGTAAAATGACAAAATTCTGCTGTCTGACCAAAGGGAAGTGGCAAAAGGAAAATGAGCAAGTGTGTACCCATGTCCAGTTTGCATTCCCAATTTTTAGACCTAAGTCCATCACTCCTAATATCTAATGTAGCTATTTGTTAGTGCTCAGTGCTATTCACCACCTATGACAGAGGAGTAGAAAATTTAATAAAGTTTATTCCTCTTAAATACTATCTGAAAACTCACAGCAGCTGTATATACAGTCATACACAGCTAGAATTATTCCCAGAACCTTAAGAGCATAAATCTAACAATGTATTCCCTCTTCCATCTACCCACCATGTATCTTTCAAAGACACTTCTAGCTCTCAACAGAGATGGAATGTAACTTGCAGATGACAATGTAAGATCTGTTCAACTGATTTGGAAATTCTGGAAAATATTTCCTAAGAATAAACATATTCTATAGCAGAATTCATGCAAGTCTAATATGCAAATCATTGACCATATTAAATTGCAAAATTGCCAGAGAAGAGGAGATTAAAAACACAGTCACAGTCTTCCACTGAAAATTCAGTTTAATCCTAAACTGGAAAACACACAATGATGAAATAAAATGAATCTTTTCTTACCCTTATTGTACATATTCGTTGGTACTTGGACATCACTCAGACTGATGTTCACAGGCAAGTTATTGAAGTGGTCATTTGGCACTAGAATGAACTCCTTCCCCAACTCCAGATAGTTTCCTTCTTCATCTCTCTCATTTATGAGCACAGCATTGAAGTATTCATACTGCAACAGAAACCCATATTCAGGATTCAGAAATCACATCAGCACAAAAACAGATTGCTTGAATATTTTAACATATCTACCAACCTAATGATTAACATTTACATTTACCTCTATTGAGAAGAGAAAGATATTTTTATCATGTCTCAGATTCTCTCTGTACTGCCAGTACAGGTACATTTCTGAAACCAGATTTAGCAATACGTCTCAAGAAAACTCCATATTACCTCAGATCTCTGGCTGCCCTGAAAAAACTCAGGACAGCCCAACAAATGACCTGAACATAAACAATGCATGCACTATTTTTAATACAAAGTTCTCTAGACTTAAATAACTCCCTGTATAATTATTCAGTGATGATCTCTCTGTTTAGCTTATTTCCACCAGTTCAAGAACTGCTATCAGTACTGAACTCAGCCCTTGACAAAATAAAAGTGTTTCTGCTTCACAGGAACGTTAACTAGAGCTGTTGTTGCTTACCTGACAGGGCTGACTAACATTTCCTAAAGAAAAATACGTGCTTTATGCTGAATTTCACAAATACACATCGTAGTAGGTTTTGTAAAATTATGCATACTTTCATATAGACACCTAAACTTTAGCAGTGACTTATTTTGAACAAGAAATTATTGTCTGACCATTACAGATTACTGAACAGTATTTGGCCTATTTTGTACAGAACTATACCAGATAAGCAAAAGCAATTTAGATAAAATTATTGATTTCTTTACGACCTAGTTTAAGCAGAAATTCTATCAAGCTTTGAAGGCACAAACAGTGAAGACTACTTTTTAACCTCTTAAATAACCTTAACCCTTGGCAACAGTTTGTGGTATGTTTCTTAATCAAAAGGGACTAAAGTTTAGTGTCTTTCAAGAATCTCACTGATTTAAATATGAGTCTCTGCCCTAACTATCCATATAAGAGTAACTCAATAATATTTAGAGAGAAAACTCAGTATTCATAAATCATATATCCCTATACAACCTGGAAAAGAATAAATATATTATTCATATTCATAGAATGGCCTAAGATGGAAGGGACCTTAGAGATCATTTTAATCCAGCCTCCCTGCCGCCAGGGACGCCACCTCTTGACTAGGTCAGGCAACACATGGGGACTGAACAGGAATCGAAACCGCAACCTTAGCGCTGTTAGCGCCACGCTCAGCTGACTGAGCTAACAAAGCTAAAACAGATCAGCAAGTACAAAACTCGGTGTGAGAACTCTTTCTACTAAACAAGGAGTTAAAAATCTTACAATCTACACGCTTTCATTGAAAGTCTTGATAATTTAACCAGTATCTTAAATGGAGGTTTACATGAACAGCCATATTCTGCTCTTTTAGCTTTCAGTTTTTCAAAATGGCCAGTCTGTAGTTCAGACTTTAGATGACAGCAGAATTCAAAAAATGTTGCTGTGTATCAGCCAAATTTTGGGGACATTCTGTGTATGACAGAAATATTCAGATCCAGTGTTCCACATTAATCACATATAACAAAGACTGAGACACATCACTATTTGAAAATCAATTTAATGGAAATTAATATGACGTGATTAAACATTTGACCTTAAAATTATTTTACTTTAATTGGTTTATACTGAGATGAGCCAAATAATCACTGCCTATATCTCATAAACATATACAGTTGTTGAATCCTAAAGTTCAAAAAAAACCCTATCCTGTTGGGTTTTTGGTTTTGTTTTTCCCCTCAGGAGCCACACGTAATAAAAACAGTAGAGACATAATTTGTGTAAAGTTATAGTTTAATTAATCAGTTAATTCCAGAAGTTACTAGAATGACTCAACGCCCCCACAGATGCTACCCTTCTCTATACCATCTGGGGGATTGTCACTGTTAGATTTGATTCTTCTCTTACCAAAACCAAAAGCATGAAGAAACGTGATCATTTCCATGAAACACCACTTCTCATCCTATTTGGGAGAAACCTTCTCCATCTCTGCTTATTATCCAGGTTTATCACAGACCATTAACTGCCCTGCATGCCTGTCGCCCACATGTGACAGCAGCTTTTTCAGTTTACCCTTCCTGCAAAAGCCAGAGACAGTTGGCAGAAGACTTGAAAATACTTCTCAGAAAGAAAAAGAATATTCCTTCCAACATTAAGCCATGTACTAATGACTGTCATAAAATGCAACTCTACTCCAATTCCAAGCAAAGAAGTAAGATATGTAGCTTTTCCATAATATATTAGATAGTATCTAAGCCTGGAAGAAAGGGCAATATTCCATCCCCTGGGAGTACAATGATAAATAAAATTATATAATTCATGCTTCTTTCTCATCAACTATCTCTCTGTTCACATCCCCTGGACATCTAAGTTCAAACAGGTTAAGGGTGACTGTTCATCTTGTTTCCAAACCACTTTTTTTCTTGTCCTTAAAGACATGATTTTGTTTTTCTTCTTCTCTGTTGAACATGACATTGCCTCCACAACTGCTGGAGCTACACATAAGCCATTATGTTCCTTTAGTGACGATTCCTAGGTTTATAAATTGTATCAGAGAAATCAAAGGGGCTTTGTTTTTTTGTTTTCTTATTAAATAACACCATTAAAAGCATTCGTAACACCTAACTCCAAATTTTAACACACAAGTTGTATTTAGGTATTACACTATAAGCAAAAGCTGAATATATCTCGGGGTAAAAGATTATGTACTAAAGTATGTAGCAGTATACTGTTCTCCTTTAACCAAATTTATTTTATGTATCATAGTTAAGTCTATATGTGAATTACTGTAGAAAATATTCTGATTTCAAGGATGTAAACTTTCCTTGCCAATGGGCTTTATAATACTTTGGAAATTGTGGGAAAAATGGAAAGTTTCAAATAAGAATGTCAGAACATACACGGAAATCCCCTCTAAAAGAATATTACTTCCTTTCATTCAGTGGACTAGTTAACTAGTAGGCATCCTCCTCCATGGTGTTCTGTAAGTGGCAAAGCTAGCCAAGTATTAAAATTTGCTATATGCTAAATAAATGAAAACACTCGTTCCACAATTAAGGGTATTTAGAACTGATTGTTTCTTTGGTTGATTTAGTATTCACTGATTTATTGGCCTGAGTCTGTATTTTCTCTTTTCAATTCTACAAGTGTATACACAATAATATGGTTTATGTGGGTGCTTTTTTAAGCAAATTGTAGCATAAAATAGTCTTTACCATATTATAGATAATTAATGTTTTATATGAATTTTTAATCTGTTTAATTTTAGCAGGGGAGGTTGAGTTTGGTTTGTTGGAGTTCCTCTGCAAGTAAGAAGCCTAGAATAAGACAGTCCTGCAAATTCTAAGGATTAAACACCAGGTAGTATATATAGCCCAAAGATACTGCAAAATATCAGCATTTAAGCAGAGCTGTTACACAGTGACTTCTTTTGGGCACTTTCCTTACAAAGAAATTATTGTAACAGCCGAAAGGCGATAGAAGAAAAAATAAAAACAAAAATTGGAGAAAAAAAATGTTAAAATAAATCCATCTGGCATTCTGACACACATTTGAGATAACGCCCAAGGGGAAGGGGATAAAGTCCGGTTTGCTGACAACACAAATACTCTACCTGCTAAGCTCTAAGAGAAAATTACTTCAATTTAATCTTGTCAATGAAGGTCAATATTTGATGTAACCTTAACTAGGTGAGTTCTGAGAGCACACAATATAACATACAAAAAAGTTACCAGTCTAATAAATAAGTAAATAATTATCCAGGATGGGAGCATAGTCAGGCTCTACCAGTACTTGGCCAACAAGGTAAGTTTACATCAAACTTACATATAGATTTCCATGGTGAGCAATGGACTCGAAAAGAATCTTTCAGAGGAAATCTCATTCATGTCATCTGTTATATGCATCTCAAGATATGAACATGAACTTTTACACTTTTGTGCATTTTAATTTGCTCAAGTAAACATGTTAGTTTTCTCTTGTTTATGCTTTCCTTAGCGTCTCTATCATTCTCAATGTTTGATCAACCATTTTGAAAGCCCCATTCCTATTGTAACGAAGAAGACTTACAGCAAGGCCATAAAAATTGGGAGACAAATAGGATTCTCAGCTTTCATGTGATACTAACATTTTACTTTTGTGAAGAAAGCCTTCCCAATGCAAGCTAATATAAACTGATCAGCAACACTCAACAAAACAAGCACTGGAATATTCTGCCTCAGCAAGGACCTGAGACACTTGATACTTGAGACATCAAGGAATTGTGCTCCTCCAACATACTGGCATAATCAGAGTATACGGAGACTTATGGGGCTATTAGGAGATTGGTCACAAAATTGTTAAAAGGTTCACTCAGGCAGAGTAGCAAAGTCAAGTTCTATTTGAAAACACTATAATATAGCCTCAGCCACAATACAGGAGTGTTTGTTGATCTCTTCAGATGGCTGCCACAGACATACCTCAATGATGACATGAATTAATTCATTCAAAAGGTATCACAGAAAAATTGTGGGGAAGCGCAAAGTTTGTGAACCACAAGGGTAAGTTGGCAGGGGAGAATTGATCCACAAGGCAAGAATGAAACTTTGCATCTCTCTGTTCCAGTTTAGCCACTTATTTTGGCATAACAGCTCAACTAAACAGGCACCTTGATTACAATGGATACTTTGCTGAGATGAGACATAGGTAATTTAGATATGATAGGGAAAAGCATTGCCCATGTCTTGCATAATCACAGCATTGTACAAACTGTGGTAGATGAGTGACATTACTTGCCTTCACATTTATCTTATTGTAAACAGATATCTTGTGATGCTTAAATTATTTATCGAATATTTGTTAACATTCTAAACAGCATATTTATTTAAATATAAATATTTACTGTTTAAATTAAAGATACATTCTAATGCATATTGCCTTTGCAACTTAGAGAATACTTGGCACATAAGAATAAACATATATCAGCTGTTTTCATCGTATTTTAAAATAAAGTATTTTTGTTGAATGGTATGAAACAATGAAAGCCATAATTT